AATGGCTGACTGGATACAAATTTCAGAGTTGGCTATCATCCTCGTAAAAATTTCACAGTTAGGGGACACCAACTCCATAAAAATGGCCTTGTAAAACCCATAATCGTAAAACAATACTCGAATGTCACGTAACAAAAAGAGGATGCTTTGATATAGGAAACGTGTACTCGTGGTCTGACATTTCACTTTCATGTTACGACCACTCACCGAACGAACTGGGAGAATTCTAAAGGTCCGTAATCCAGTTACACTATAACTTCTTCACTGTACCGGCGTAGACAGTGAGCATGTAAAATAAACCTGCTGAAAGCGATAGATGAGCATTCAAATGTTCAGTTTTTCAATTTACTTGGTAAAGGGTAATAGGTAATGCCTTTGAAAACCCTATTGATTACATGCCTGTGTGTCATATACATCTGTAGACGCACGTGTATAATTGTCGCTATTAAAATAGTATTGACAAACAATGAGTAGCATTTTTTACAAATAAGTCTTGTCTGAAGTTTTTTGTGGTATTAAATCGATTTCGTACTGTCGAGGAAAAACGGGGGACGCATGAGCGTTTTTTGAACAGCTGTAGGACTTGGCCTCCAAGACTGATGGTAGGAGGTTATTCCGTTGTTGTACCGCCCGTTGCGTGAAGAATTCAGAGTGGAGATTAAACTTGGACATCTTTGTGTGCAGCTTCATGGTGTGTCCGTGGAGACGAGGCGAGAGGTGCTACTGAAATATTTTCTCAATGCGCCAGCCTTTCTCGAAGCCGTGTATTACTGCGTGTGAACTAAGATAAAAAAAACCTCTGCTGCCTGTAATACAGGGGTAATTACTTTAAGCATTCCAGTCTTTCTAGGTAAGAGTGGTTTTTTACACCACTTACTAGCTTTGTTGCCCAACAGCTCGATTGTCGCAGGTAACGAGGTTCACCACAGGCCCCACAGAGTACACGCAGCGCCTGTGACCGAAATTTGAATTGATTTATAGTGACAGAGGCTTGCATGGCATTTACCACCCTCCCTTCTCCCTCACCCATGAGGCTCTGGTGTCAAAACAAGACAACTGAAGGCAGACTCGGGTGTGGTGGTTGGAACATCTTAACAGTCAGTGTGTGTGCATGCTACCTGGTCCCCGCAAAATATTCCAGCTTTTCACGAAGAGAGGTGGTGCTCGGATTCCACCTAAGTTGACGTGCCATACAGAGGACATTAAGAAGTCATTTTGTCTGACTCTCAGTCCACCAGCCACTTAGCTCAAATGCACACTGCGTACTACAGATTCCACGGGCCGAGTTATTTCGTCCGCCGGCAACCTTCCTAATCAGGACTTTTGGCGCGTCGGGATAGATTCAACGGCCCGCATGCAGACAATCGGACAGCGCTCGGAAATCGCTCACGTAGGGTGGGGGCCGCGAAAGACTTTGACGCAGAACGGGGAACAGAGGGGATTACGAAGCTTACGTCTTACTTCATTGCTCCGGCCACAAATCGTAGCAGAAGATAGACCATCGCTAATCGGAAATTCCAACTGTAACTCCGACCGTTTTTTATCGATTTGGTGCAATAATCACTTTGCAAATCCCACTACAAACTAACCTATTTATATTAAAAGCCTCCCTGAACTGTGTTAAGGCATATGCTGGAAACTCCTGCAGTAGTCAATTACGATGGCAAAGGATGACAACATATCTCTCCCTCAAATTTCGTATGGCTTGTTTGGTTTCGGAGTTAACTGGTAAGGTAGACGTAGGTTCATCATGCCAAGAGGACTTGATTAATTCTAAGAGAGAACATAAGTATCGTGTGCAGGAGCGTTTTGACAATAGGTGTGTAGTACTTGCTTGTGACTTTCTTCTGCGTTTGTCTTCAGGGGTTGTACCAAGCCAATCCATCAATGGACAGGTTGATAGCCGGTCCTTATCTAATCGTGCATTAGTAATGTAGTCAGCTTGTAGGAGTCTAAGTCGTGGGTGTGCTCAGAACACTTCAATTATCACGCCCAGTTCTGTATAAGAACAGAAAAAGTAAGACCAGTAGTTGTTTATTGTGTTCAGGAACTGAGTGGTAGGCCTGGGGACCTGCTCGCGCGTCTATCTACTGGCGTGGCGTGTGCGTGAATGCGCAAAAAGTCATGCGAGAGTGAGTCCCTGACCTGACCAATTGCTTGGCCGATAGCCGTCTACGGCACCTATGATTGGCTATCCCAGAAGCAGACAGAGGAGCGCAGTCACGTGACGGTTTGTTGGCTTTGCGCCGGCGCTACAAGCTCTTATGCAGATACGACCTAGCAAAGCTCACATGTATACGGAACCTACATATCTGCGGAGCGTTCCCTTCTAACTGCCGTTGCCGAATGACGTCGAAAAGCCTTCAGCAGAGATTGTAGTGTGGGGGGTGAATTCAAGCGCTGCATGTATTGTTTCCTGCTGAAAAGAGATCAATCGGCAACCCACCCAGTGAACATCTCGATCCATCCCACTGTAATAAACTAATTCAAAAATAATTTATACCGGCGATCGTTTTGTTTCTACAACGGGCCAAACAGCAGATGTGCTGGACTGAAATTCTGGTTAGTTCAGAGCAAGACAGGTTTTACTGAGAATACGCGCGCATAACAAACGGTCTATATGAGGGAC